ATAGTTGACGTCAAAGTTGAGAATGATCGTAGAATTCAAAACAACCTTAGATCAAATGTCATAAACGCTTCCATCATCAACACGTTGATCTGCTAACGCATCATATATAGGTAGTCTATCATACTATATACAGCCAACTGACTCTCTAGATTTTAGGGTAAAAGAGAAATTCAAAGTGATTCCTAGTTTGGGAATAATTGTTTTGACGAGGAAGCATTGAATACAAATGTATGAGGGTAAATATGGTATTCAAAAAATTAAAATGCTCTCAGTAGACTTTTACTTTTTATCTATGAGATACTTTTAAAGGAAAATTACTATTTAATCTATTTGATTAAAAACATTTGTAAAGTGCAACTCTTTTTTTTTTTTGGGTGTAAAACAAAACAACAAGAGTCGCACCTCCAAAAAAATTCTCACCTTTTATTACATATTTCCCCATCTCTCATTAAACAATAATTTCTCCTACTTTTAAGTAAAACATTAACTCACAATAACTTGTGACTAAGGGATATATCACTAATTTTTTCAAAAAATAATATTAATTTATTTGTAAAATGTATGAAGTTTTATTTTAATATTGCAATTTTTTTTATTAATTTAATATAATTATTTACTTCTCACTAAAATGATATTTACCCTTTTTCAAAAGGATAATATTATATGTACCTAAAATTTTACCTCCTATTTTGCTTTGGAAATAAAATTTATGTACCTCTAGAATTACCTTTTTTTAATAAGGGTCTTGCTAACCATAAAGGCGTTGGTTAAGAATATAATCTTACTGCTAATAATATGATTTGAATGCTAAAAATATGAGTTGAATTTACAATAAACTAATAACTTGATGTGATACTTAGTTTTTTATTTTTTATTTTTTCAAAGTTAGAGTTCATTGATAGACAAAAACAAATATATTAAGAGTGGTTATCCCCCTTCTCTAGAAGGAAATACAACCAAGGTTCAGTGTTACAAACACGAACACTCGAACAACCAACAACCATAGTCACAATATATTGTGGCTACTAACCAACAACCATAACCCGCAACATAGTGCGGCCAACAACCAATAGAGACAAACTCAACCCTCCATAGATGACGACAAAAGAATCCACAAAAGAGGGAAAATACAATCAAACATACTATAAAATAACACACAGAAAAAACATCAAAAAATCAAATCCTCACAATCCATATCACTGGATCGGCAAGCAACTCTGGCATCGGTCATAGATCTACAGCCCACGGAGATGGTAGAAGCTTGAATGGTAGAAAGTCTTAGGTCAAAAGACCATATCTTAGAAGAAAAAACAATTCGGGAAAAAGAGGAAACCCACGTAGACCAAAAGAAAAGGAAAAAGAGGGGGATCGGATGGATGTGACATTTAGTTGGTATTTGATAAAACTGATAAATGAAAACTAAAAATTAAGTACTTGAAACTAAATGTTAAATTTTTTAAGTTGAAAAACTATTTGATAAAAATTTAAGAGTTGAACTAAAAACAAGCTATTTAATATGTATAAGACAAAATTTGAAATTTATTATTTTTAAATTGTATCTTGCAATTTTTATATTGTGATGGTGAGTTGGTGGCGGAAGCGACAGAATTAGCTATGACACCATTGGCAATGGAGGTGGAGATAGAGGGATAGTGATTATGGTGATGGTAGAAGGGAAATGTCGTGTAGATAAAAAAAAAAAAAAAAAAAAAAAAAAAAAAAGTGGCAGCGGTGGTGTAATGATGGTAGTTTTTGTGGTGGTGGTTATGGCAATTGTGACAATGGTTGTGAAGGTGCAATGTTGTAGTAGTTATTGCAATGGTGGTAGTAATAGCAGTGGAGACTGTAGTAATGGTGTGGTGGTGGTAGTAAAATGATAATGATGTTTATGGCAACAATGATGATGGTGATAAAGGTAGTGGTGGGGTGGCGGTAGCAGTGGTAATAGTGGTAGTAATGAGTTTATAATAATGTATATTGATCCTTATGTTTGATATTTATAAATTAAATCAAAATCAAGTAAGTTTCATATCACTTAAATTTTTCTAAACTTTTAGCCTACATTTTAAGAGATACTTAAATTTTTAAATGATATTAATTGTGATTATCAAATTAGTTTAATTGATTATTACTTAATATATTCAATTTTAAGTACTAAATTAAATTATCAAACACCTCTTAATCTTTCCCATATGTTTATTAAATTTTGCTAGTCAGATAATATATATTTTATTCAATTTTCAACCTTAAGATGGCCTCATTCTCCTTCTAACAATCTCAATTACTTCTTTCTCTTCTTTATTTATTTATTTATTTATTTTTTGTGATTAGAGATAAGGGTGTATACGGATCGGATTGATCCGATTTTAGAATAAATCAAGAAATAAATTGTAAAAATCGATTTCAGAAAAATTAGAATCATAACTGAACTTTTAAATTGTGAAACCCGATTAGAACCAAACCATAGAAACCGGTTTGGTTCAATTCAGTTCGATTTTATGATTATAGAAATTTTATATAACAATAAATATGATATATATTTTATGTTAGTAAATAAATTAATGATAATTAATTTGGTCAAGTTGGTTAGAGTTTATCAATTTATAATGAAGGATGGTGTTCAAATCCTATAAAGAGATTTTTATATTTTAATTTTTACATATAAAAATATAAAAAAAATAATAAATAAATATGTTGTGGTCCGGTTTGGTTCAAACCATAACCAAAGCCTTGAAACCAAGAATCGGATCAATTTGAATGGTTCCACCTTTTTCAGAACTAGAATTAGAACTGAAATTAATAAAAATCAGACCAAACCGACATTTTAAATTGGATTGGATCAATTTATTGATTTTTACCGATTTTTTTATACACCGCTAATTAGATTGCTCAAACATTTTAGTCCACAAATTAAACTGAGTACAAATGTCTAAGAGTAGTGTTAGAGACCTACAAATTGCCTATCTAAAAAAAAAAAAAAGACCTACAAATTGGATCCCTAAATTTACCTACAGTGATGTGACAAGAGAAATAGACTCCACACAATTGAGTATGTGATAAATCAAAAATTGACATGTATCATGCCACATTATTATAGATCAAATTGTAAGAGATTTTTTTTAATGGATTTTAAACATTTTCCTATGTCTAATGATATAGGTTTATATGTTCAATCACCTATCTTTAATACGTAATCAACTAAAAATCATTCGATGCAAATAAATACATTTTCTAAAATGTAGTTAAAATATAAATTACTCTTTGTAATTTTACAAGTTGTATCTCACATTTTTAAATATAATCGCATGACAAATGATTCTTTTTATTAATAAATCATTAGGTCAATTAACAATTTTTAATAATATCATAAATATATTTTAATTAGTAATTTTGATAATTTTATTATTACATAAGAAAGTAACTATAATTTTTTATTAATTATGTTAAATAAAAAATGCTAACCAGAGAATATTTATAAATTTTAAAATGGGAAATTTATTAAAAAATTATCTTTCAATTCCTTGTATCCCAATTAGTCTATAAGATATTCTTATATTTCAATAAGTCCTATTATTTAGATATTTGATCTATAAAATCCTAATTCTTATATTTTAGGTATTTTATGAATAATTTTACCCTTACAAATATTTTTTGAACCCTTAGTAACTTGGTAATGTGAATATTCATATTAAATAAATTTGACAGTGTGAATGATGTGAACATTCACACTATCAATATGAATATTAATGCGTGCTTCACCCTGTTATTATTAAAGATATTTTAGTAATTATGTCACCATAGGATTTCTTGGTATATAAGAACTAATTTAAACTAACTGAAACATAAGTAGGTGAAGAGAAATTTATAAGTAAGGGTAAATTACACTGACACCCCTTGAGGTTTGATCCAAACACATTCTACCCCTTGAAGTTTTGAAAATTACATTCCTACCCATATGGTTAATAGTCTCATTTCACAAACCCCTGCTTATATAAAAGAAAACAACTCTTAGTAGAAAAACAGAAAAAATTATGTTTAAAAAAAAAGTAAAGCAAAGGAAATAGGGGAAAAAAAGAGAGGAAGTAAAGCAAAGCAAAGCAAAACAAGAAAAGAGAGAGTGCATGAGTTTAATATTTTCATTCTATATAAATAATTACAATGACAAGGGGTTAGTGTAATTTCTCAATAGTTCGGGAATGATATGTATTAAACTTAAATCTTAGAGGGTATAAGTGTAATTTACCCTATAAATAAATATCTCTTTCAAAATTATAGAAGACAATTAGTATTTTAAATATGAATAATGTTAGGGATTACGAAAAAAATATCCTGAAAATGATTCTAAAAGATTTTTCACATTTAGATTACACCTACAATAAAATACTACACTCTAATAAAAGGATAAAAAATTTTAATGATATATTTTATAATATTTTTTTCATAATCTCTAAAATTTTTCTTTAAATAAATTTTAAAGAATGCATTTATAATTTATTTATCCAAACAAAAATAACCAAAAAAAAAATTCACAAAGAAAACACAATTCCACTACGTAACTCGAATTTTTCGTGGTTTGAAATCTCAAAACAATGTCATTTTGACCTTTTTTTTTCCATCCTTTCCGTAACTCACAGAAGAAGAAAGAAGAGAAGATGAGATATTTAAATCATTAACAACCAACCCATCGTCATTATCATCGACAACCAACACATCATTATCATCACACAGAGACTTCACACAAAGAGAGATATAGAGAACAAGAGAGAGATAGAGATTGTGTCTACACATATCTATCTGTGCATACACATATTTGTGTATACACAGAGGATGGTGGGCGCCGATAACAACGGTGCCGGTGATAGTCTATTCCCCCTTCTCTCCCTTCCTTCTCCTGTTTCATATATAAAAAAATAAAAAAATAAAAAAAAATTCAAAACGACGTCGTTTTAAATTCAGATTACCCGAACCACCGAAAATTCGAACTCCAAAGCATTTTTCAAAAGAACATGGATTGCTATCCTGTAATTACCCTTTTTTTGGAGCCCGAAACACCGCTCGTCTCTTCGGTCTCTCTCTCTGAACTGGAACACCCGTTTCTTCCGCCACCAGTTCCGAAGGCGCGTATGGTCTACTCTCTTCAACTGTCACTTTCTCTCTCTCTACATCGTTGTCTCCATCTTTTCTCTCTGCCCCCAAAACCCTCTCTTTTTGATAACCCCTAACTGGGGTTTCTCTCTCTCTCCATCTCTCTACAACAGTGTCTCGAGTTTTTGAAGTCAGTTGAAAAATCACAATGATTGAGAAGACGAAGAAGCACAAGAAGGGTTCAATCAGCGAAAATGACATCTCCACTCTGCTTCAAAGGTTTCTCTTTTAATACACTTCTGGTTTGATTAATTGATTCGATTCGTTTACACGCCTTTCTGCATTTGGAATTTCTATTTCTGTTTCTGTTTATTAGGATTTGGCTATAAATGTGGTTTTTTTAATTTTAATAATTTTAATTTTTTGATTTTTGATTTTTGTGATTTTGTAGGTATGAAGCGACGACAGTGCTTACATTGCTTCAGGAAGTTGCTCAGATTCAGGATGTGAAGATTGATTGGAATGCCTTGGTGAAGAAGACTGCAACTGGGATTTCAAATGTAAGGGAGTATCAGATGCTGTGGCGGCATTTGGCCTATCGTGATACACTGGTCGAGAGATTGGACGATGGAGCCGAACCTCTGGTCAGTATTACACATGTATATGTATAAACTATATGTATATTTGATTTTATTATGGAATTTGGTGACATATAATCTTAAACCAATTGGGCCTTTAGACTAACTGAATTAAGCTGGGGTGACTTAGAAAAGCAATGTGAGACAAGTAACACTCCTCTTCACGTGATCCAATCACATGTGGAGGTGATAGAGAGATGAACGAGATGAGAAACAAGAGAAAAGACCCGGAACATAAACTTTGGTCAACGCCCAATCCAGATACCATGTTATAGTTTTGAAAGCATCCAAAATTGAATCAAGCTTTGTGTGGCATAGAGGATCAAAGTTGAACAAATCTGTAATAATTATTGTGCTTGATTCCAGTGTTTAATGTTCACGAGGGTATATACACGTGGAGAATTCTAATGGCATAGGTATTAATTATATTGAGAACTTGTAGATTAATTTTGTATTGGTACGGATTGGCAAATTATTAAATGCTATCAAAGTTTTGAAAAGCATTGTTCAGGTTCACCTCGATGCAAGATTAAAGCAAAATGCATCGAGGCTTTGATTTTTAGGTGATGGGTCCAATCAAGAACCAGGGAGAAAATAAGAGAGAGAACCCTAGGTTCTAGAGAGAAATTCTCACTCAATCAATATTCTATATCTAAAAGTTCGATACAAAGTAGTTATGACTCCTCTAGATATAGGCTACATTTTCCCACCGCTATCACATGCCATCCTACATTACACTGTCCCGCTCAAAAGAATTTGTCATCAAGTATAGACAAACAAAATACAACCAATGCACTAGAAATGAAACACAAAATTAGAAAGTATAGTACAACACAAACAAATTCCACAAAGGCAGCTAATCTATAATAAAGAGAATGGCGTCAATGCAAGAAGAACCCAACAACAAGGGAAGTGACTTAATTGTTGCAAGTCCTTATTCAAGTTCAACCTAGCAAATGTCTTTCCTTCAAAACAAGTTCTCGTTTATGCACATCAACCGAAGCCATGTTGAGGTGTGAATAGGCCACCCATGTAGCATGTCGTTTTGGAAGCAAGATGTCATCAAAATAATGCCTCTCGCGTGGCTCAAGAATAAACTCATCCTCATCAACACAAAGTGGAACAAATGGCTTTGAAGGTAGCCTAAGAGGCACTTCTTGGAAGCAAAGTTCATTCAACAACCATGCAACTTCAATGTCATGACGCTCCATCATAATTTTCATGGAATATAGAAACGGGAAATAAGGTGGGATTGAAACCACTTCCTTCATAAGAAGCAATGTTTCTTCATCCTCATGTACACCTTCACTCTCTACAAGAAGGTCATCTTCATCATCATAGTTGTCAAAAATTGTAACTCCTTCATACTCACAAACATCAACTTCTTCTTTACATTTACAAACGTCAACTTCCTCATAAGCCAACATCTCACTATTATCATCAAAGATGGCAACATCTTGATCGTAGTCTTGTTCCTCATCTTGATCAAAGATGGAAAAATCTTCGTCACAAATGGAAAGAGCTTGACCATAATTTTGTTCTTGGCCACAATCTTCCTCCATGTCTTGTTCACCAAAGACAGAAGCTTCTTCCTTATCATATCTTGGTTCAACCACCTCGCCACTAAAGAGCATCTTATGATGGTGTCTCTCATCAAAAGTCTCTTGCATTCCAACACTAGTTGAGTAACCGACTTAGACATAGTCATAGGATGGTTGTCCGATTGCAAAGCCACTTCGGTATTGATGTCCGAAACTTGAAATGCCCTTCTTTTGTTGCTTCGCAACCAATAAAGGTAGCATGTGATTAGGAGGCAATAAGTGCTCCTTGAGCTTCTTCCTCATCTTCCTCCATTCTTTAACCTTTTCTTAGCCTTTTCTTTGTACGACCTTGGAGGCTTTGAGAGACAAATTTCACCTTCCTTGCTTCCGGCACATCATAACACTCCAAATGACTCTTAATTGTCTTCAACCATTTCTTGAACACATCCAGATTGTAGCTTTCACGGAATTCGGAAAACTCTAAATCTTTTACAGTGTCATTCCATTGAGAATCAAACCCATGTGAATGTGCTCTATGCCTATGCGGAGCATTGAAGGAATCATGGTCTTCTCTATGGCAAAGGAGATAGACTACACGTCCATGGCAAAGGAGACAGACTATACGTCCCTAGTGTTGGGGGACTGAGATCGCAACTTTTTAGAGAGATGCATGATCCGCAGTGGGCTAGTCATTCGAGACAACAACGCATGATGACACTTTTGTCTTGTTCATATGTTTGGCCGAAAATGGAAGATGATGTGGAGACCTATGTCAAGACTTGCATGGTGTGCCAACTAGACGAGACAAAAAAGAAGGCGGCTAGGTTGTTGCAACAATTGCCGGTCCCTAAAAAGCCTTGGGTTTCAGTGTCCATGGACTTCATCTCTGGGCTTCCTAAAATCAATGGAATGCATTCCATCATGGTAGTTGTTGACCGTTTTTCTAAGTATGTTGTATTCATTCATGCTCCTCATGCTTGTCCCGTTGATATTGCTGCTGATTTGTTTTACAATTATGTTGTAAAATACTTTGGCTTGCTTGAGGACATAATTCAAGGATACCTGGTTTATGGGAAACTTTTGGACTGTGTTCTTTAATTTGTTGGGTTCAGAATTAAAGTTCTCCGTAGCAAATCACCCTCAGACGGATGGCCAGACTGAGAGGATGAATGGGTTGCTTGAGGAGTATCTCCGACATTACGTGATCGCAAGTCAAAAGAATTGGGTCGAATTGTTGGATAGTGCACAGTTTTGCTATAATTTGCATAGATCATCTCCAACCAGGATGAGCCCATTTAAGTTGGCCATAGGGCAGCAGTCCCTAACTCTTCATGAAGTGGCTAAAACAGGCTCTGGTGGTAGATGTCTAGCAGCATACCGCTTTACAGGAGCTAAACAGGTATTGCTGGAGGAAGCACAAAATAGTTTGGCTAAAGCAAGCGAAAGAATGAAAAAGTATGTTGACAAATGGAGAAGACCCTTAGAATTCAAAGTGGGAGACAAAGTGTTACTAAAGCTTACTTCTCAAATTTGGAAGAAGATAAGCAATAAGGCAGTGCACCATGGCCTAATTCCGAAATATAATAGCCCCTTTGAAATCGTAAAACGTGTGGAAAATGTTGTATACAGGCTAGTGTTGCCTGATCGGTTGAAAATCCACCTAACTTTCCATGTTAATTTTCTGAAACCTTTTCATGAGGATCAGACTAACGTGACAAGGACACAAGCTTGGAGGGCACCTCGAGTGATCAGAAAGTAGTTTGATAGAGAGGTAGAACAGATTCTTGATCACAAGACCAAGGGGCAGAGTAAAAAGAATCAAAGGACCCATTACTTAGTGAAGTAGAAGGGTTCCCTAGAATCTGATGCAAGTTGGGAAAAGGTGTAACATTATGGTAGTTTGAAGACCAAGTCGAAGAGTATTTGAAGACCCTACCAACGAGGATGTTAGCTTCTTCTGGTGGGGTGGTCTGTTAGCACCTTGATATTTGGGAGTTGGCGGCCTGATACTTGGTGGCACCTCGCACCTATGTTAGGCCTGGACCGTGGCATAAGAGAGGCAAAACCACAAGGTGGGCAATCAATTGTGTTGTTCGGCGGCGGCACTCAACCCTTGGCCAAAGTATGGGTAGCATGGCACGTGTAAGGCATTAATATGACCTTAATGCTAGGCTACAACATACGTGGGGGTTTAACATAATCAAATGGCTTGAATTGACTAGATAGCAAGGCGTGGTGCACAACTTGGCTGGTTAGCAAGGCGGTTAGGCTTGACCAAGACCAACAAATGGCACTCTGGGCTATGTTTGACTGGTGGCTTGAAAAATTCGAAATGTCTAAGGCAAGAAAAAGGCTTCCTAAAATATAGGGGCAGTTGTGGGCGGTTATGCACAGAACCAGACATGCTGTCAAGGAACAAGGAAGGCTGAAAATTAAGGAGCAGTTGGTGATAGTTATTTCTGTAGGCTTGTTTCAAATCTATTAACCCCTTGGTAGTTAGGGGTGTCAACTGCCATGCCAAGTAGCATGTGTCCCTTATGTTTTGTAGTCTATTTGAATTTCAAATGTTCTGATTGTAGCCTATATATAGGCATGACCATGCAAACTCGAGTTGATAAAGTATTTGAGAGTTTAGCAGTTTGCTTTCCTTTGTAATTGTTGGTGCAATAATAAAGGTTGAGTTTTCCCGTAATTGTTGTGTTGCTTATCTTGTATGCTTGACGAAATTTAATTTGTGTGTGAGTTGCATACATTGGCTAAGACTAAGTGTTGGGACTTAGTGCCATCGCAAGAAAATTTTATAGACTGAAAATTAGCCCTGTGATACCAATCCAGATTAGCTGTAAGAGAGAGAAATACCTTGACTGAATTCATCTTAGCAACTGGTGCAGATGTCTCTTGATACTTTACTCCATAAGTTTGAGTAAAGCCCTTTACCACTAGCCAAACCTTATAGAGCTCAATCGAACCATCTGTCTTGTGCTTCACAGTATACACCCACTTGCATCCCACAGTTCGTTTGCCCTTAGGTAACTTTGTCAATTCTCAAGTGTCATTCTTATGAAGTGTTTTCATTTCTTCAATCATGACATGTTTCCACTCGAGTGGCAAGAGCATCCTGAAAATGATTAGGTATACTAATCGAGGAAATTTTTGACACAAAGGCTCTATATGAGGGAGACAAACTAGAATAGGATACAAATTAGAGATTGAATGTTGAGTACAAGATCTCACACCTTTCCGGTGGGCAATAGGAAGATCAAGATTTGTATATTCTGGGTTATCAAAGTTACCAGGACTCATCAGTTGAAGGAGACGGCAGTGTAAGATTAGGAGAAGTGGTCTCTTCGATCCAAGTAACCTTCTGTCTTTCTTTGTCTATGACATAAACTTGTCCTTGCTTCTTGAGTGTATTAGCTTCTGTGTGCCCAATAGTTGGTTTACATAGTGGTTCACATGCTATCT